TATTTTTTTATATGAAATGCAAAATACTTATATATTTTTTTATAATATTGGTACAGTTACTGCTCTAAGTGGGTTGCTCTGTCAGCTAAAGGCATGTTTTACAGTCTTTACACTCCGTTTAACAAGGAATCAATTACAAAATTAGTTAATGATTATTTAAAAAAAAAAAATCTGTTAATCTGATTAATTGTTTCAGGCCTATAAACCACATTAACTTACATTAACAAAACATTTGGAGCACATAGCTATCTTTTCTATTGATTTTGATTGTTATAACCATATGGTAATCTTATTGATCTTTTTCTACATTTTATTTTATAAACTTTACTGTAAATGCTGCTTCAGAGTTCCGCAACTTTGCTTTTACAAGTAAGTCTGGAGTGGAAGGTCTATGAAAACATCCTGTAAATGAGAAGCACCTATAATTTGATTATTGGGTGATAATGATACAGAGGAGGGTTAGGGCCACTGAAGAAAAAATAAAAAAGTTTACTGATTTTTAGATTTGATTTCAGCATAATATGAGAAATAAAGTCAGAATTCTGACTTTTTTCTCACATTATCCTGAAATAAAATGTAAAAATCAGTTGCCCTGATCGTCTTCCGTATGATGATGACGGACTGACTGTGCATTACCTTTATTTACACATCTAAACCGGATGTGACCGTTGTTGCTCTGGGTTACTTGTACAGATGCAAGAAAACGCAGCTTTTCGGAGATGAACAGTGTAATCCACAACGATGAAACATTTAACGAGTTAGAGCAGGAAAAGTGCGGCCGTCTGGAGTCGATCCTGACTAAAAGATGCACTTGTTCAGTCACATCGTGCAGCTAAAGTTGCTTTCGTTTTCCCCAAGCAGGCAGAAAAGGTTGAAGTGAGCAGTCCCCTCCCCCGGCTCACAGCGCTTCTTACCAGGCTGGGCTGGCCTCCAAACCACATCCCTGACTTTACTTCAGACCTATTCAAACCATGACAACCGATTCTAAAAAATCCGAAGCTTCCATCGAAACGGCTGAGCGCAGATTATCACTCCAATATCTCCAGCTTCCTGCTCTGTGAGGCTCTGCAGCCACAGAGTTGGGAAAATGTTACCGTAAAAAGTTACATTTGAAACGCACCAAAGCGCTACGTACCTGTCGATTCACGCCATAAAGCAACAACTACAACCCCGTTAAAGCTTAAGGTTTGAAATTGATCAAGTTTTACTGTACATAGTGACAAAACCCACTCCTAGCGGGAAACGCCGCGTGTGATTGGACGTTCACTTTGATAGACAGCTGCAACGCACCAATGAAAAGCTTCGTAAATTGTCAAAATTGTATTTCATTCAATGGATGTTCGGGTTCAGGAAATAAAGTTTCTGATGAAACATAAAGCCTGTTAACTGTCCCGTTCATTTCCTTATCTATTCAGTTTATTTCTATAGTGCCAATTCACAACACATGTCATCTGAAGCGACTTTACAGTTCACCAGATCATCCAGTTAGATTGATTCAAAGTTTTCTAAGGAAGACCAGCTGACTGAATCAACTCTGTGACTCTAAGGGGATCCCTCACACTAAGCATGTTTTTAGGGACAGTGGAGAGGAAAACTCCCTTTTAACACTAGATGTCCCGGATAATTTCAGTTTTCCTGCAAGCCCCCCTCCCCTCTTTAAGTTTGTGTATTCACTCTACCTTGCTAACTGTCCTTGTAATGCAAATAACCTGCGATATGACCAGCCCTTCTACATGAGACTGGATAAGGCTGAAACAAACTGGCATCAGAACAAGATCATGCTCCAAACACTTTTCAGTACCTTCCCCTGCAACATCATATCTAAATCTTTTATTTAGGCAAACCTATTGAACAACCAGATATCATACGGGTCCTAGTTCCTGAGCTGAGAACAGGTCATAACCAGCTTTTCCAACAAGGCAAGGCAGAGCCTATTTATATTGTCCGTTCACCAACAGACTCATTTATATTGCAAAGCTCACTGTGTGAAAGAAACCTAGAGAATAATTGTATTTTGTTTGTCTCGCCTTTTCATGTCATTCAACATTTCAGCTTAGAGAATGATAAACAGTATGATTTCTGTAAAGCAGTAAGATTTAGCTCACCCAAGGATAAGCACTACATATGAAGCTACCATTGTCCCATTTAGCAGTTTTTACAAACCCAAGGTGAGTCCTTCCTGCATTAATGACAGTTATACTTTGTGCAGTGCACACACGCTCAGTGCTGTGGTTCCTGTTGCAGAGATTGCACACCTGGCATGCTTATAATAACAATGAAAAAAATCTGAAAAAATAGAGGGCCCGAATAAAGAAAATCATCAACACGTAAAGGTTGGGAGACATTTTTAATGATCTGTTACTTTAAACAGAATTTAAAACTGAAATAAAATGAGGTGTTTATGCATCCATGTTATACACTGAATAAATAAGAAAATATTTATATATATAAAAAATAAACTTTTGAAATCTAAAGTGCTTTTTGAGGTAGAGAACAACAACCCGTCAGTTTGGTATATAGACAATTTCCTGATTCATATATTTTATAAAACACCTGAACTGAGCGTTTGTTATT